GTCATCCAATTTCTTATATTTTCCATGAGAAGCCTTACGATTAATTTTGTCTCTATAAACCAAAAGGAAACGTTAAGTGAGGACCACCTTTGTTAAACATGTTTATTTCCCTTTTTGTGACAGTTAATTTAATTGACCCGAGAGTGTTCATATTAAATATTATTTCTGGGTGTGTCTGTGAGGATATTAGCATTTGAATCAGTTGACTCTAGACCGTCTTTCTCAATCTGAGTGAGCATCATATAATCTAGTGAAAGTCACAATACAATTCCTCCCTTTTTCCTGTCTCACATTAGAGCTGGACAGCTCTTATCTGGCCCTCACACTGGGATCTATACCACTGATTTCCCTGGTACTTGGGCCTTCACACTTGGACTCATTATACCATCATTTCATGCGTCTCCAGCTTACACAGAGCAGAATGGAAGGGCTTTTCAGCCTCCATAACTGTGTGAGCCAATTCCTTATTATCTATTCTACTGGTTCTGTTTCTCTGGAGAACTCTGAATGCACACTTTTCTATAGCCATGTTATTCCTCTTAACCTAATCCGGTCATGATCCCCCCGCCCTGAGATTCTGTTGAAACCTATAAAAATGCATGGATGACTATTTCATAAAATGAACCACACTGTTTTGGTAGGAAAATCTTCCTGAGAACCAAAAATTTATCTAAGACCCTTTGCCACATCCACTTGGTATAATTAAATAATATTTCATTTACTTTTCTCAATTAAGCTATGCTTACTTTTCTTCCAAAATTAATGGAATCATTAAACCTAAGCAAACACTACTGTCTTGAATATACATAATGAGTTAAATAATGAGTTTAAAAATTATGTTAAAAATTGCAATTCATCCAGTCTTTCTGAAATTTTTAAAAAAATTGAGCGGAGCAGTAATTCATAGTAAAAGAAAAAATAGAAACCTAAAAAAAAATTACTGAATTTTAAAAACTGAAAAAAAGGACTACAGATTCAAAAATCATAATGGAAATTCTCACTATTCAAAGAATTGAACTGGATTACTGATTCAATTTCTAGACACACTCCGTCTTAAGAAAAAATCTTTAAAGACAGAACAAAATTGTATTTATAATGAATTATCCTTCCATTATTATAGATTAGCCTGAATGTCCCCTTTTAAAAGCCACCAAACAATCAGGACTACAAAAGCAGGAAATAAAATGTCTCATCCAGAAATAATCTATAGTTTTTTAAAGCAAAGTTACTAACAATCTCAACTTAATTCAAAGCTTTCTGTTCTGTCTTTAATATTGTTAATGTTTTGCTACTTTGTTGTTCATAAAATATATTCAGCATCATTTAGCTTTGTTAAATATTTTTCCTGAAGTGCAATAAATAAAATGTATTATTTTTGTAAAGACAGTTTTTCTTCATTTACTTTCTCTATACTTTCAAACTTTCAGAGATGTGTTTCCCTCATAGTTGACAACTAAAAGAACCAAGAAGACAAGAAGTAGTTATGGGTCAGTTGGACACTTTCTGGTAGCTGGTTAGCTGAGAAAGAGTAGAGAAATGGCATAGGTGTGTGAGGTATCTTAGAGATCCAATAACATAGCATTTTTCTTTTTAGAATATAAATGCACAACAGAAAAAAATTTATGAAGTAATGTATCTTAGGCCAGTGTTAATAGCATTTTTATTATTCTACAGGTGTACTGCATAAAATTAAAGGTACCCAATATATTTTGGCTTCCAGGACAGGCATAAAAATAAGTACTGCAGGGTATCTCTGACATGTTAACAGAAATATTATCTAGTACTCTATAATTCTTCCCATACTAACTTCTCTCATGTAAACAAATGAGCTCTTGAAATGATTTCTAATACAAAAGCCACATAAGTCGCCCTGGGAAAATTATGTTCCTAGTAGTTGTTACCAGGATTTGCCAGAGAAACAATGGTCCAAAAAGTATGGGGGAATGGAGAGGAAGATGAACAATGCTATAATTCATCATTTTAGCTAATAGTGCTGCATCCAAGTTTCTGAGTTACTTGTAAAGAACCTATTTTCTTTTCAAAACAGAATAGGATTTTGACTAATGATAACAGAGATGTGCAGAGATATAAAGATCCAATCAAATTTTGATATATAATTCTTTTTAGCATTACCTATAAGAAAAGGATATGAATACTATATCTCCTTCTTATATCACTTCAGTTTAGCCAGATACTCTAAGTTAATGCCGAATAGTAGTATTTTTCACCCAAGACAGCCGATGTAAAAGTCATTATCTTTATGAACAACTTTCCGATATGTCAAGTCTTCATTCAAACTGGGCTTTTCTGACATACATATGTGTGTGTTCTGCCTCTGTATTTATGCTCTTGTTCTCACCTGAATAAACCTCTCTATTTTTCAAGGTCCAACTCATGTTTCTACACTTTAAAGCTTTTTTTAAAAAAAAATACCTATATTAACTGATTTCTCATATTTCTATTTAATAAGCACATTAAAATGTCACTTATCTGTAAGCCACAAGAGCATCTAAAATGTTAAATGTAAGGCACCTGTTTTGAGTACACACTATGCAACTGGACGTGCTGTGTTGTTTTATCTATCCAACAAGCCTATAAAGTTGGTACTATGTTTTAATTCTATAGATAAAGAAATCAAGTGTCAAACATGTTAATTTTCCCAAAGAAACACAGCTAGCAAGTAAAAAAAGCCTAAATTCAAACCCAGTGTCATTTGGTTCCAAATCCTACCAAAGGAAAGAGTATATTAAATAAAAGACTACTCTAGTCCAGTGCATCAATTATTACTGACAAGTAAAGTTAATGCACCCCTCAAAATGCCTAAATTTTACTTACTATCTCAAAAGAAATTCTCTTTCAGGTTTTTAATTAACAGTATTATTGACTGACTCTATAAAACAGTATTCACAAAAATTCACTGTAAGAATTCTAGGACAGTCTTGCCTTCTAAACAGTGCATAAAAATTATGATGCCTTCACATGCATTCTATCCTTGAAAACTGTTTAGAATATTTAGAATATAAAGGATAATTAAGAGTCTATTAAGAAATTAAGAACCCATTGTTTATAATTTGATAGGCTACCTAACATGGATAATACTATACTCTCTGATTTTTGATTCCTCATGTTAATAAGTAATGTTAACACAGATAACTCAAAACTAATATATTAGAAATAGTTTTGTAGTCCTATATAAAAGAAATTCTATTTTACTAATTTAAAAAATTGAAATAGCTCACAATTAGGAGTAACTATAATCTGGTGATCTATAGCACTTTAAAGACATACTGAAACCTCAGGAGGATCAAATTCCTCCAAAACTTCTGAATTATTTGAACATTTTGCCAAACTAAAGATTCATAAAGTTGTAAAATAAGAAAAATAAAATGACATATCAGTTATAACTATATTAGCTCTATACCAAGGACTGAACAGCAATTTTTTTTTTTTTTTTTTTGGTCATTAATGCTACGGCCATTTGGCCTAGAACATTGACAAATTATTATGTGTTTGACATGATAGTGACACTTTTTGTTTGTGAGTATAATTCGAGAGGTTAATTTTATTCTGTTCTTCTCTGCAAGATTTGGACCATATTGTCTTCAGAGAAAGTATCAGGTCCATTTTTTATTAAAAGAATAACTTTACATAAACTTGAAGGATTTAAAGTCATTTCAGACATTTTTTCTTTTGTTATTTCCTTAACAAACTTTCAAACAGCAGAGAGTTTATGAAAGCTACATGAATAATTTCCAGAGATTATCAAACTCATTAGAATTTTATAAGGTAACAAAAGTACTCATTCACCCACCCTAATATGACTCCTTCCAACTCTGAATCATGCCAACAAAGGGATCTTTCTTTCACTAAGTATTGTACTTGATACGAAACAATTTCTTTAGGCACCATACCTATAATTACCCCTAAGGGCATAGATCATGATGAAAAAGTAAAACAAATGAAAAAGAAATAAAATATTACATTAACCTTCATTGGACAACCAATAAAGATATTAATTTAATAGCTTCCTACTTCTTAGATCTCAGACACAAAAGCCACTACTTGTGTGACACTATTGAAGACTATAGATAGATGTTCCTTATCTTTTCTTTTGGAAAAGTGTACTCAACGCAATAAAATTATAAGCCCAGTTTGAATATAACATTTGATTTACATAAAAACAATTAAATTTATAAATACTGACAATGATAAATATTGTGAACTTCTCAAATCAGTTATTTAAATGTCCTTATTAAAATCGGTTTGGGGTGCACACCAAGAGACTTCTGAGTTCCCTTGTTATTTTATCATAATGTTCTCTGAAGAGTAAATTAAGCTTTCTTTCCTAATCCTCGTCTCAAACCCATCTGATAGTGTGGGGAAAATATCATAGCATTTTCCATTTTTTACATAACCAAGAATTAGAGGGTTAATTGAATTGCTTAACTTAAAAGCAAACTAGCAGTAATTAACATATGCATTGAATGGAGTCACATTTAGTGGAGCAAATTCAGAGAAGTCCTCTAAATCTAGCAATCAATAATCATAATTCTTTAAGATGCCAAAAAGGTTTACTGAAAGCCATGAGGAAAAACCTCTTCATGAATCAGTTTTTGTGTCGGTTTCCAAAACAAACCAGGCCTGAAAATATTTTTATGTGTAATGACTGGGTATGATAATGTAAAAACAATAAAACATTTCATTTTCATTATATTATCCTTATAACCTCATGTGCACACTCACTAACTTAACTTGTTTGATTTAACAAAGGGCCAAAACTGTAAGAGCAAGAGGATTTTTTTTTAAACCAAAGAAAAGTTTGTTCTTGTTTTATTTTTTAACCCAGTGGTCATAAGAATGAATGTAGGCATTGTAAAGGAAATGGTTTTCAAAGATAAGATGACAAGTATCCAAATTAAGTATGAAAATATTTTATGGTAATACCTTCTTCCTGAAGGCAGAGATTGTAATAAGCTCAAATAGTATTTAATCCTATTTACCTGTCTCTTTCTGGAGAATAATGGTCATCCATGACACGATGTCTATCCATTCGGCTAATTGTATTATAATGTCCAGCAGCAGAGCGTGTTCCTCGAAGTCCCTGTTCCACATTCCGACTGTAATAGTAAAATCCATTAAATACCATATCAAACCATAAGCATGTGCTACATTAAGAAATGAGGTTTATTAATAAAGAAAGTAGAAAAAGACAGAAATCACTCTAATGGCAAGTCCAAGATTTTTGTGTTAACTAATTGAACCTCTGACTAATGGGATACATTTCAACTGGACATTGACAGGGAAGTTAGAAGATTGCTGCTATAATAGGGATAAACATAAAACTCAGCTAGTATCAATGGGGATAGAGATAAGAATTATCAAAATTATTAATGAGTAACTCCCAGGCTTCTAGTAGTAATTCTTGTATGAAAAACAGGAGGAATAAATTTGTCAGAGAAAATGAGATCAGCATGTTGCTTGTAGATAATATTGCTGTTAATGACTATTAATGATAGTGACTATTGTCTGTTTTTTAAAAAGCCTGTTTGGGCTTCTCTCTCTCTCTCTCTCTCTCTCCCCCTCCCTAACCCCCTACCCCACTCTCTCTCTCTCTCTTAAATACAAATAAATAAACTTTAAAAAATAAAATAAGGTATGGGGCTTAATTTATTAAAGTTAAAAAATCAAAATCTAGTTCTCTCTTAGACTTTAAATTTCAAAATTACAAATGTTATTCTACTGATAGTTCCACCACATTTAAGCAATTATTTTTCAGATGACTTTTTAATAGTTTAAGTCCCATTTACAAACTTAGTTAAATCAAAATCTTCAAACATTAAACCATGTTTATAAAGTTAATTTATTTTCTTTTTAATTACTTAAGTTGTATCTAAATTAAGTAAACACTTTTTAAGTACTTATATTCCTATATATTATATAAATGAAATTTATAAATGTAACAATCTTAAGTTCTCTTAGACAGCCCAATACCATGTGTAAAATTCAAATTACAAGGAAAATTTCTAAATCTATAACTAACTCAAGTATTCACTTAAAATAGGTATTATAAGATATCATTCTAAGAGTTCAACTTTCCTCAAACTTTGCAAGTATATAAAATGTGAATTATGTACATATGTCTTGCTAACAAATACATTATTTCCATGGCACTTACTCCTTGAAGCCTCTCTGTATTTAACAGGAATGATTAGAGTTTTCCATCAGGCACTGGAGCTGGAGGTTTTCTGAGTCATTCTTCCCTCTGACTGTACATTCTTTTTTATTGTTTGCACAATTGGTCCTAACCTTCAAACCCCATCAGATGTTTATTCTTTCCTATTCCTTAAATTATCAATACTAACATCATTCTTGAGTATAGTCAGTTGGCTCTAACTAGATCTGCTCTGTATGGATACGTAACTGAAAGATGGGTCTTCATTAAAATTGTGAACTCTCACATAAAAGAATACTCTACCCAGAGTTACATAGTAGCACATATTTCATTTTACTCTCAATATTTCATTTATTGAAGAGCATATTTGCTTTTCCTTCAGTAACTTTATTCCGTAAGAATTTATTGGCTTTATTTTTTTAATAGTTTATTGTCAAGTTGGTTTCCATATAATACCCAGTGCTCATCCCCACAAGTGCCCTCCTCCATGCCTAACCCCCCCCTCCCTCATACTCATCAGTCCTCAGTTTGTTCTCAACATTTAAGAATCTCTCATGGTTTGCCTCCCTCCCTCTCCCCTCCCCCCCTCATTTCCTCCCTTCTTCTTCCCCACAGTCCTCTGTTAGGTTCCTCTTAATCCTCTTATACATGCAAACATATGGTAGTTGTCCTTCTCTGCCAGACTTATTCACTCAGCATAACACCCTCAAGATCCATCCATGTTGCTACACATGGCCAGGTTTTATTCTTTTTTATTGCCATGTAGTATTCCATTGTATAGATAAACCACATCTTCTTGATCCATTCGTCTGTGGATGGACACTTAGGCTCTTTCCATGTTTTGGCTATTGTGGAGAGTGCTGCTATGAACATTGGGGTACATGTGTCCCTATGCATCAGCACTCCTGTATCCCTTGGGTAAATTCCTAGCAGTGCTATTGCTGGGTCATAGGGGAGCTCTATTGTTAATTTTTTGAGGAACCTCCACACTGTTTTCCAGAGGGGCTGTACCAGTTTACGTTCCCACCAACAGTGTAGGAGGGTGCCCGTTTCTCCACATCCTCGCCAGCATCTAGAGTTCTCTGATTAGCTCATGTTAGCCACTCTGACCAGCTTTAGAGATTATTAATGATTCTTTGCAATAAATAGGCTTTTCATACCATCCTACAAATCAAATGTATACAGTGTCTTACCTTTGTGGAGGAGGGACACTAGGTGACCATGATCTAGTCCTTCCTATAACATCTACTCGGTGAGGAGATCCTGTTGGCGAACAATGGTTTGATGACATTACTTGTTCTGGCACTGATAACGTTGAGCTCTGAAGATCTCGACCATTGTGTCGATAATCTAAAGATGCAAAAATTAAAAGTACAGTTATCTACCCACTAAGTCCTTTTGTATTTTGTGCTTTATTTATTTTTTTAAATGTTTTATTTATTTCTGAGAGAGAGACAGCATGAGAAGGGGACGGTCAGAGAGAGAGGGAGACACAGAATCTGAAACAGGCTCTGAGCAAGCTGTCAGTACAGAGTCTGACGTGGGGCCCGAACCCACAAACCGCGAGATCATGACCTGAGCCGAAGTCGGACGCTTAACCGACTGAGCCATTCAGGAGCTCCTTGTATTTTGTGCTTTAATGAAAAAATTTGATGTTGGTGAAGGTGAAAATCTTTGAATATATTAAATGTAAAGCATAATGAATAAACATAGTACTATAATAAAATGATATTGTAATTGTACTAGGTAGACTAAAATTTTTCTATATAGCTACCTATCTTTTTGTTTAAGTCTATTTACTTATTTTTGAGAGACAAAGAGAGATGGGGGTGGATGGTGCAAAGAGACAGGGAAAGAGAGAATCCCAAGCACTTACAGTGCAGAGCCTGAAATGGGGCTCAATTCCACAAACCATGAAATCATGACCTGAACTGAAATCAAGAGCTGGGTGCTAAACCAACTCCAGTTAATTATCTTTAATAAAAGATGCAAGTTTATTCTAAAAACATTTTCACCTCTTCAATGAAATGAAAGAGCTTCATTTACTGCTCAACAATTATAAATATTCAAAATTATTAACTTCACAAAGTTCTTAAAAGTCTATGATTATTTAAGAGATAAACAGTATTAGAAAGCATTCTGAATAGTTTCTGAAGTACCTGTGTAAACTGCCTTTCTTATAGTGTTTAACAGGGTTGAGATACCATAGATGACTGAAAATAAAAATATGACAATTCGGAGGAGGGAAACAGCCCAGTGATTTGACACAGTTAGAAAAAAGTGTAATAGAAGTGATATAACTCAAATGAATCTTGGAAAGCAACTGATATTTGACAGATGGGAAGAAAAGTAGAAGGAATTCAAAGTTGGTAGAAAGACAGCAGTACAATGTGGTGCAAAAATAAGGATATAGTTTGGTAAGTCTGACCCAAGTTGTATATATCTAGAACATCAGGAGGCTTGTCATGGGTGGGGGGGGGGGGAGCCTGAATATTTCTGAGCAGGAAGTGAGATTATCGCCACCACCATTATCTTTATCATGTTCATCATGGCTGCTTTTGGCTTTTTACTATGTGCCAGGAACTCTGCTAGGTACTTTACCAAGGGTTCTCCTACAACACTTGTTTCAGAAATAACTCAGAAAAAGTATTGGTTCATATGTGATTTTTCCCCAGTATGTTAACATGCTGCAGTATTATCTGAAGTTGGTTCCTGAGAAATGGAGCAAAAGATGTCCATTTGGGTGGACATAAATGATTGAAGGAGCAGCATCAGGAAAAAGGAATTAGAATAGCAGAATAGGGCATGGGAAGAAACAAAGCACAAGAACTGACCTCAGTCGGATCCCACTGAAGGCTTTGGAATGTGCATTGTACCAGGGTTGGTCTGACTTTGAGGCAAGGATCCTAGACTTTTGTACTCCTAGGTTAGCCAGTCACTGACTGAAGACTGCCAGTGGGACTTAGGTGAGATTGCTTTCTGTTTGTCTAAGGCCAATTCTCCGAAAAGGGGGGCAGCTGTGAGTTCTTAGCAGCCAACATTCACAGTAGCGGAGGACAGGTGAAGGAGCTGAAGCAAAGGGGATATGGGTGGGGCACCAATAGCCTCCACTACATCTACCAGATAATAGCAGCTGAAAGCAAAGTAAATTAACAAAGCTGGATGCAGAAAGCCAGAGAAGCACAGGGCCACATATGATGTGCATTCATCCTATGTTCTTCCTTTTGGCCGGCTCTGGTCACAAACTCCATCTTAGAAGTATTTATTGCACATGTTCTTCCTGGTGTTTGCGAGTATTTCACTTGACACCATAACTTTGCAGACGTATCTTCTTTTCCATCTACACATACTCCTTCCACCCAGATACCTTCATTTAATTTTAAAATCCTACGTTTAATATTTTTATTGCTTAAAACTTAATGGGACTTGTAAAAAAGTGTGCTTGTATTTTTAGTTTTAGTGTTTTGGTTACAAAGCTACATGGGTTTTGAATGGTCTGGTCTAAACCCAGTTTCCCCAGATGCCCTTTTGTTTTTAGTCCATGATTTTGCAGAGCACAAGGCTTTTCCAGGAATGTACATGTGATGTGATAGAACCAACTTTGCAAAGAAGATAACATTATCCCCATTTTATAACTGAGGCACCTAAAGTTTACATTAAGAATTTACTAGGAAATTTACATTAAGTGTCAAATACTAGGGCTCAGATTTAAAGCAAACTCTATTGGACTTTGATGCTCTCACTGGGCTCTAATACTATATTCATCTTTCATGATCTAAGTAATCACTTAGGAAGATGAAGCTGGCGGCAGTATACAATTTAAACTAAAGGTGAGAGAGATTGTAGCAAGATTAACTGATCTTAAAAAATGTAGAACAGACTGTCCAACAGAGCTCTCTGGAATGGTAAAAATGTTCTCTATCAACGCTGTCCCGTCGAGTAGCCACTAGACACTCATGGCTACTGAGCACTTGAAATCTAGCTAGGGTGAATGAGGAGGAACTGAATTTTTAAGGTATTTATTTTAAATCAATTTAAATTTAAAAAGCTACATAGAGTTAGTGGTACAACTTTAGAGTAAGACAACTGATGGTGGCAACAGACTACACAGATGAAAAGTCAGTACATTCATCCATTCAACAAGTGTTTATGATCGTAAGTGCCTGCCAGATGCTATTCTGTGCGCCACAGTGAGCAAAACTAAAAAGCCTTGGCTTTGTGGAGCTGACATTTCAGTCGGAGTGCTGAAAACAATAAAAATCCCAATAATAATTGTGGGACATGTTTGAAGGTGATTGAGTGCCAGGAGGAAAACAGAACAGAGTAAGGGGAGATCAAAATGCCAGAACAGGGAAGCATTTTGCAATTTTATGTAGGGTTGTCAGGTGTAGATGCGACTCACTGAGAAGTTGACATTTCAGGAAGTTGGATGCTTTGCCAAGTGGACAGAGAGAGCGGAGGGTTCCAAGACAAGTGCAAAGACCCCAAGATAAGAGTCAGTCTGGCATGGTCACAACAGCAGGGAGAAGAGAGTGCTTGGAGTGGAGCAGGGGATGGAGATCAGAGACACCTGGAGGAAGGATGAAAATCATGGGGAGGGGATTGTGTCACTTTGTAAAGATTTTTGGCATTTGATCTGAGTGATTTTAATTTTTTAATGCTTATTTATTTTTGAGACAGAGAGGGAGAAAGAGAGAGAGAGAGAGACAAAAAAAATGTGAGCGGGGAGGGGCAGACAGAAAAGGGGACAGAGGATCCAAAGCAGGCTCCATGCTGACAGCAGGGAGTCCCATATGGGGCTCCAACTCTTGATCCATGAGATCATGACCTGAGTTGAAGTTGGCTGCTTAACCAACTGAGCCACACTGGCGCCCCTTGATTTGAGTGATTTTAACTCATTAAAAATTTTGAGCAGAAACTGAATATGACCTATGTTTAAACAGGATCACTTCCGTTGTCATGTTGAGAATAGACTGAAATAAGATAAGGCATTAAGTCAGGCAAGAGATGTCAACCAGAATGACAGCAATGGAGACATGGTCAGTAGTCAGATTCTGGACATATTTTGAAGGTAGAGGCATTGGGATCATTCTATATAAGATTTGATGTTGGACATAAGAAGAAGCGAAGGACAAGAACAAACCTAAAATTATAATTCAAGTAAATAAAAGAATGGAGTTACCACTGGTTTGATGGGAAAGATCAGGGAGTTCAGTTTTAGACATGTTAAGTTGAAGATATCTACTACATTTCCAAGCAGAGATGTCTGTCAATGGGCAGGGGAAAATAAAAATTTAGAATACAAATAAGTGGTTTTGACTGGACGTGCTAGAATTTTAGCATAAAGATGCTATTTAAAGGTACGGGACTTTATTATTTTTTAATTTTTTTTAAGTTTATTTATTTATTTTTGAGAGAGCATGAGCATGAGCAGGGGAGGGGAAGACAGAGAGGGAGAAAGAGAGAATCGCAAGCAGGTTCCACACGGTCAGCATGGAGCCTGATGCAGGACTCGAACTCGAACCATGAGATTGGGACCTGAGCCGAAATCAAGAGTCAGGTGTTTAACCAACTAAGCCACGTAGGTGCCCCAAAGGCATGGGACTTTAAATAGATGTGATCACTAGAGTAGTGAACGTAGACAAGTGAAACAAGTCGAACAATGGAGACTGAGGACATTCTAATATGAACCAACAACAATTTGTGATCAGATGCAAGATCAAAAAAAGGGAAGAAATAAATGGATCCTAACCTTTGATTAGCCCATTAGGAAATTAAGAGTATACTACAAAGGGTCAGAGAAGTTTAGAAGGTTTACCAGTTTGGAGAGGGGAAGATAGCAATACTTTCAGGCATATAGGCAAACAGTTACACATGTGGAAAAGAATCTTGGGAAAGGCGATAGGGCTGTCAAAATGACTTGAGAGTCATTTATAAAAAGAGCATCATTGAACTCCAAGGTAAGGGAATATTTAGATACAAAACAGATGACCACAGAGTTTAAGGGAGACTATCGAGAAAAGGAAGAAGAGTGGGTACAAGAAGAAAATTTAAATAATGCAGTCACATGAAAACTAAAAAGAAATATAGAGTTTTAAGAAAATATTCATGATTCATAATGACTAAAGAGCTACTCAGAAGTGATTAAAAAATGAGTAATGGGGTTAGGTAATTAGCTTAGGCTATCAGAATATTATATGTGATATTTAAGAGCCAATTATCAAAGCATCACTCTACCTTCCCATTGGAAAATAAATGATTTGCATTTCTTTGTATATTGTTTCTGGGCAGAGTAGAAAATAATACTAATGGCTAACAGTCTAAGTGGCTAAAACTCATATTGTGTATGTGTTTGTGTGTGTGTATTCCATTTACTTGCGTTGTGGAGTGAGTCAACTGGTTCAAAGAATAGTGGGTTTATAACTATTCTCATTCTTCTACTCAGTAATACCACCAGGGTACAAAATCCATGCCAGTAATTGCTTCCCTGAGAAACTTAAATTTCAATACCAAAGTTTCTATTTACTTTGAAGAATAATATTAGCAATGCAAATGTAAAAATTACCTCTTAGAATAAACAAAGTAAGTAAGCACATGGGAAATATTACCTCTGACATAGTTAATTTTCAAGACATCTGCCTTGAAAACTTAGAAAAATTAAATAAAGGAGCTGAAACTGTTCATTATTGAGGAAAGGTGGATAGTTCAGGTTAAAAAAGGGTTTTGAATTGTTGTAACTAATACTTTGAATTTGACAATGTATGGAATGTGCAGTTGGAAACAAATCTCTGCATATAGGGAACAAAGCATTAACAGATTACTGGTGTCTTGACTTCTACTAGTTGTTTAAAATATTAGTTAACATGGGGTAGTAAGGGAGTTTCTGTGTATGTATATATGCAATTCACACTCAAAATGCCTTAAATAAAATTTCACAGAAATGTAGGATGATCTGCTTGATTTGACAGTCAAATTACTAGATAAACTATTGATTGAAGCATGTACTCTATTGAAATAATTGTTAATTGATAGAGCTTTAAAAGAAAGGACATTGGGGTGCCTGGGTGGCTCAGTCCATCAAGAATCTGATTTTTGACTCCTGATTGCAGCTCAGGTCATGATCTCAAGGTCATGCAATCAAGCCCTGCATCGGGCTCTGCACTGGGCACTCTCTCTCCCTCTGGGGCGTCTGAATGGCTCAGTCCATTGAGTGTCCCATTCTTGATTTCGGCTCAGGTCATAATCTCATGGTTCATGAATTCGAGTGCAACTTCGGGATAACAACCAGCCTGGGATCTGCCTAGGACTGTCTCTTCACTCTGACCCTCTCCCTTCTCCTCCCCTGCTCTCTCGCACGCCCTCTCTCTCTCTCTCTCTCTCTCAAAATAAGCAAATAAACATTAAAAAGAAAGGATTCACCTTCCCTCTGCCCCTCCCCGGCTCACACTCTTTCTCTCTCCCCACGAAAAAGAGAAAAAACAAAAAGAACATTAAAAACAAGAAAACAAGAAAAAATATATTTAAAAATTTTTTAGTGTTTATTTATTTTTGAGAGAGAGAGAGAGCACGCGCGCACTTCAGTGGGGGAGGGGCAGAGAGAGAGAGAGGCGCAGAATCTGAAGCAGGCTCCAGGCTCCCAGCTAACAGCACAGAGCCCGATGTGGGGCTCAAACCCACAAACAACAAGATCCCAACCTAAGCGAAATCAGACATTTAACTGACTGAGCCATCCAGGTGCCCCAAGAAAAAAATATTTTTAACAGAATCAACATGTGTAAGTCATAGTTAGCATGATACTTATGTAAATGTAATTAGCACACCATTTACTAAAGTTATGGGCCTATGAAAAGATAGTACTTCAGAAACCACAATATCCTAATCCTGATTTTCATGTTTATAAAAAGAATATGGAGATGCTTCAACTTTCTAATAGTGACAGATTTCAAGGATTTGAAGTCATCTTCCCATTTAAGTCATCAGATAAATCTCTATCCACAAATCAGGCAATATTTTAAACTTCAATAACATAAATGTTCATTCCAAAATGAAGCAGTGCCTGATATGTAATCAACACAATAAAAAATTTTTCAAAAAGCACATTCAAAAATTTGACATATTTGGGTATGTTGGTGGCATCAAAAAGATTTTATTTTTTTCACACGATTATGCAGTATAAGGAAATTTCAATTACACAGTAACTTTCCAAATTTATGGTGAAATCCTTATTTTTTTAGTAGTTTAAAAACAGAAAACTTAGAAATACTTATCTTATATCTTTTAATAATATTCAATCTCACAATTGGTAAGAGTTCCAGCAACTGGAATTATGCAGGAGGTTAAACTGTCATAAGGTTGTTGGGGGAAGGGGAAAAGGAAGCAAGTTATTTCTTTCTTATTTTATTCATTATTTAATCTATTTTTTGGTAAATAATGAATAACACTTCCTCTTATTACTATAAAGGAATTCTGCAGTTCTTACCTGATACTATACCAATTCCATCATCACAGTCATAGTCAGATACTTCACTATCACTTATTCTTTTTGATCCTATGAAGCAAACAATAGCAATAATTAAATTGCTGTTTATTAAGGAAAAAAAAAACTCTTCATCAACCTGAAAAACAAATTAAAGGATTTTGAATGAAACACTTGAGAATGAAAAGTAGAGAAAGCCATTGTATGCTCACACTTTTACACATACTTTGTGATGTAAAGATATTATTCTTAATATAAATTGTTCTTTAAAAATTTCCTAAATGCCTTCCTAAATTCCTAAAACTTGAAATAATATTAAATACTAAGTAATATATGTAAGTGGTTTTATGATGATTGGTAAAATCTACTAAACAAAAGTTAAGTTAAAAGTAGCTAAGTCAGGTCAGTTTTGGATGCTTTTAGACAAAGACACTTACGTCTATATAGGTTTCAAAGTAAGATACTATGTTATCTCAGAAGCATTCATGTGCCTTTTTCTAATATGCATCACTAATACATTAAATATACCCAATTCTTCATTTTTCACACTCATGGAGAAGAAGCATAATTTAAGAGATCTTAAACCCCTTTCTTTTCGTATCAGTTTAGCTGCTCCTCCATTGCTTTGAAAAGAAAATGAGAAATAAATCATCCAGAAACTTAATACATTTAAATTGCAAACTGTCATATTTTCTAAGAAATAGCCTAAAACAGAGTAGTAATAATGATCATAATTCAAGACCTCTGTGTGTGAGTTTCTATTACAAAAGAAATCTCTTAGAAAATTTTAAAGTGTAAATCATGCTATGGCAAAAGTACCACTACACTGATGGCTAGAACAGATTGCCGTCACATGTAATATTGAAATATATTGCATATATAAGTAAACATGTTATAACTTGTTTTTAAATATAGCTTGTCTCCTACATGTGTCTCAAAATAGGCACATTTTGCACAACAGAATTTCTTATTAGTTTTTTTCCTTACAGTCTGAAAATGCTTAATGATAAATGAAAACAGTGTTGGTATTTCAAGAAATGACTTCTTTTGTCTGTCTACTAATACTACACATTATTCATTAGACCAAGTTCAGTTATCAGAAAATAAATACTTTCCTGTAAGTTTTATAAAACACTGAGAGCTCATGTTGTGTACGGTGTCTAAAGTAGCAATAATTAAACGTCCTAGGAATGCACTCCAATATTTGCAACTTTCTCTTAGAAATACTTTATGCATTTTTTTCTTTTTTTGTTTGTTTTAACCCCTGCCCTCCTGAGAGAGGGAAGGGTCTGTTGAAAAGACTCTTGTTTCCTCCTTTTAATGAATACTTAAAAGACATCTGTCTGTTTTGATCATGTGGTCCCACTGAATGGGCTATTTTCCTTCTGAAGCTTATATCATAAAACTTAAAATTCAATCAAATCACAGGCTCTTAAAGCCCCAGATGATATGGAAACTACAATTACCAGGCAATATCCCAAAAGACTAGGCACAAAAAGGTTTACAGAATTAGTATATACTGTACATTCTAAATGGATGTATGAGAAAAAAGGATACCACGGATGAAGCTGTTGAGGAAAGACAGAATAAGAATTGCTACTCATCATGTAATAAGATCTCACCTTGTAAATGTAAATGATCAAGGACAGGGTAATAATTAGTTTAATGTGCCAGGTACAATAGGGCATAAAGATAACAGGCTTTTGGTTATTGGTCAAGAATCAGATCTGCCTCTGGAGTAAGATAAGAATGACACCAGCAAACAATGAAGTTCATTTTATCAGTCTTCATGAGTTGTCTTGTGTGGGTTTGTTCATCGAGTTGGGGGCTAGGGGATATATAAGATTTGTAAATGTTATTTCCTTCCAAATCTTGTTACTTTCCTGAAGGAAGTCGATCAATTTTTGCTAGTAATTCTACAGAGGTTAAATATATGCAATTATGTTGTCTCTACTTGGATCTTGTCATTTAACATTCTGAAGAATTCAAGTACTTAAGTTTAACATTACTGAATATATCAATCTTCTCCTTTAAAGTAGTGTTTTCAATGTCTTGTTTAAGAAATCATTCTTGAGCTTATGAACAGGGATATTTTCTTTTATTTTCTGAAATTTAAAAATTTTGTTTTAGCACTTACATCCTTGTCTATCTGAACTGAGCTTATTTACGGTATGAGATATGGATGCAACTTTGCTTTTTCCATATAACACATATTTCCATTTTCATAGACACAGAACAACCTATTTATTCAAGGTTTAGTAGGTTATATTTTTCATAGGAATTAGTCCACTTTGTCCAAGTTTTCAGCGTTTGCTACAATGTTCATAATTTTATCATACTATTTATTATTTCCATTTGATGGAAATTGTTTCCATTTGATGTCTGAACCTTCTTTTTATTCTGTCAATAAATTTCATTAAAGGTTTATTTTGCCATTCATTTCAAAGGACTAATGGACTCCACTAGAAATTTGTTTCTCATTTTATTGATTTCTGCTTTTATAGTTATGATGTTTTTTTCTCTACTTTGAATTCATGTCACTTCTTTTGCTAAACTCTTAAATTGGATGAATATGTCAATTTTTTCAGCCTTTTAACCTTTACTAACATAAACATCCCCCCTCTGAGTATATCTTTGCATTACTAAAATATTTCTATACAGTGTATTATTTAAAGTTCAGGTCTAGGTATTTTCTTCTTGGGTCTATTAGAGATTTACTATACATCATTAACACATGATAATTGCAGAGATAATAAATCTTGAAAGAAAATGTTCATTAAAGCATCTATTTTTTTAAATTTGTCAAATATACAACTGCAGTTTATTTTTTTAATTGACATAGTAACACTGGCACTGAATAAAATAGCCTATATGTGTCAAGTTTTTGAAGTTTGTCAGAAAATGAATTATTAAATAGTATATTTTTCTTACAAATGTTTCATGGATATAGCAGAAGAATACAAATTCACTAATTATTAGACCAAGAGAACTGTGTGGTTTGATTCTTGTTTCTTTCCTAAATTTTTGCTTGCCTGGCCTACCAGTGATTCAGAGAAAATTATAATGGAATCTTCTTCAATGGTAGTGAATTTGTAAATTTTTCTTTCCAGTTTACTTCATGTATATTGACGTTATTTCATTTATACAAGTTTTAAAATATTTCAGTAGATGTAGAAGAATCATTTGAAAAAGTGTGCCCCCACCCCTCATTCATGATAAACATATGAGCTAACTAGTCCAAAGGAAATTTCCTCAAATTGATAAAGGGCATCTACAAAAAACCTGTAGATGACATCACACTCATGACATATGGAGTGCAATCCTCCTATGACAAAGAATAAGCTAACGATGTCCACTCTAACCCTTTCTAGACTGCATTACAGTACATAACATCAAGGAAAAGAAATGCAAGGCATACAGATTAAAAAGTAGTAATATGATCAGGTAAATTCAAACTCCTAAGGAAGCTATAAAAAACTTATCAAGACTAACAATTCAGCAAGATTATAGAATATATATGTACATAGTCAACATATATAAATGAACTATATTTCTTAGAGAATGGCAATGAACAACTGGAATATAAATTTCAAAGCCACTATCACTTACAAGAATACCCAAACACATGAAAACTTTACGAATACATTTAACAGAAAATGTGCAAAACATGTACATCCCCAATCACAAAACACAGCTGTATTCGCTTCCTAGGGCTGCTGTTACAAAGTACGGAACACTGGCTGGCTTATCACAACAGAAATTTATTGTCTCACAGTTCTGGAGGCTAGAAGTCCCAAACGGGGGTGTGAGCAGTGCCAGGGAGGAATCCTTCCTTGTCTCTTCTAGCTTCTGGTGTTTGCTAGCAATCCTTGACTTTCTTTCACTTGTAGATATGGAATTCCAGTCACATCGCTGTCTTCTCCCTGAAGGTCTTCATATCTTCTTCCCTCTGTTCATGTCTATCTGTGTCCATATTTCCCTTTTTTATAAGGAAGTCAGTCATATTGGATTAAGTCTATTCTAGTGGCCTCAAACATGAAAACTTGACTACTTCTGTAAAGATCCTATTTACAAATAAGGTCACATCTTCAGGTACTGGAGATTAAGACATATACTTTCAGTGGGACACAATTTAACTTACAACAACCGCTAACAATTTAGGAAAATTTAAAGAACTGGAGAGACTTTTCTGCAGAGTTGGAAGCCAGAGTTATTAAAATAACATTGCCAGGGTGCTGAGAGAAAATGAAAGTAATTCTAGAATTCATGCACAGCTAAATTTTCTTTCAGGAATAAAGATATAGTCATAAAAACTATATTTCCAGGTCTTCCCTGAAAGAATTTCTAAAATATGTGTACTTCAAAAGCAGAGAAGTTCATCCCAGAAAAAAAGTATAAAATGAAAAGAAAAAGGGGGGGAAGCAAAGAAAGTGGTAACAATTCAGGTCAATCCTAATAAATTCTAAATGAACAAAATGACAATATTATAACAAATTACTAATTGGAAGGCAGAGCTAAAATTCTGGTAATAATATATTAAATAGTGGGGGTGAGGGTACAAGTCAGATTTTAAAATATTTATGTAGTTTGGAAAAAAAGGTGGAGGTGTTAATTAATGTTACTTTGTTAAGTATACATGTTGCAATGTCAATAGTAACTACTAAGAGAATAGAGATTAAAAATAAAGAGCAGAGGGCACACAATAATCATACTATGTCACTATTTCTATCAGCAAAAAAAGAGGAAAACCCCATACATATCTGTTTATGTAAACGTGGCCTATCTGCAAACATGCAGAAGCCAGTCACAGTAATTCATTCAAGTAAGGAAAACGAGATGTTTGAGAAACGGGGGACAAGATTTTTTGTTTTTTACTTTTAAATTTATACCATATGATCGTACTACTTAAAAATTTACAGCAACATTTTGCAAATGTTTCATTGTAGATGAAGAGAAGGTATATTCTCTATTGGTTGGGAGAAAGTTCTGTTTATTCAAGTTCATCAATTCTATAGTTCACATTTATGAGAGATTGTTATGATGATTGTGGTTTTTCAGTTTCTCTTTCCAAT